ACTGGTCCAGATCCACCAACCCCACCCCAGAACCTGGGTGTCAGAGTAGAGCCCTTGACAATCTGCAGGACCTTGGAGAGTAGATCAGTGTTTATTCCTGGCATACAAATAGATTTTGGGAGCCCATCCACATGAAGAGATGCTCTCTCAGCCTGGACACATGGGGGAGGATCTAGGCCCTGCCCAGGATGATATGAGAGACTCTGAAAATCCTTATGAAAACATATCTTTTATATCCTTATGAAAACATAATCATAAATATAATGAATTTGAAATGAAGCGTCCTTTGTGAATGGATAATGCTCCCAGGAAGCCATTAACTATTTACCTAGAAAACTTAATACCATATGTGAGACACCTCTCTGCATATTGTTGTCAGGGAGTCCATAGAGGCCACGCAAACAAAACAGTCTTACTATCACTCTTGTTTTCAAATGAGAACTCCTTGATAAGGTCCTATTGTGTTGAAGACACAACATTATTTGAACACAGGACATAGATGAATTGGGCTAGAAATGAACTGCAAGCTTCCTGTCTCCTGTATGGATGTAGTAGAGCAAAGGTCTGTGCACATTACTAGAAGATAAAAGGAATCATCAGTCTTTCCCAGCTCTGAATCCTCCAAAATACAGAAACGCACTGCCAGATCTGCCCTTTGGTGTCACAGTGGCATGACTATGATGGGAATTACAATCACTTTGAATTTGGATTTGAGTTATGCGATTCAAGAGGCCCACTTCTGTAAATTTTGTCAAAACCCTGTCTCTGTGGAAGTTATCAGTCATAGTGGGGGACCTTACTCTTCTTATTTAGATAAATGGTCATTTTGTCAAATGGTCTTGATGCTGTATCCATAGGTGAATTCCTCCATCAAGTGGCCTGTAGGCAAGCACATGGGTACATATTTTTGATTAATAATTGATGCAGAAGGGTCCAGATCCTATGGGCAGTGTCAATTCTGCACTAATGGCCCTGGATTTTATAAGAAACAAGACTGATCAAGTTATTAGAGAACAAACCAGTAAGTGATCCTCCATGGCCTCTACTTCAGTTCCTGTCTTCAGATTTCTGCCTTTCAGTTCCTAATGTTTTTGTTTTGCTGAAGCTGCAAGCAAAGAAACATGAACTATGAAAATCAACAAATTCCCATGGAGTTTACTGTGAATGGGAGCAAAGGGAGCCGTAGATATTGGCAAACTGAGAACAGAGATGGAAGGGGGAAGGAAAGAGAAAAGAGATAAAGAGACAGAGAAACACACAGAGAGGACAGGAGAGAAGAGAGACAGGAAAATTCCTGCGTGCCCTAGGGGAACAGCAGGAAAGAGAAGAGAGTGGAAAAGAGAGTGAAAGAGAGGAGCAGGAAAGTGAAAAAAGCAAAAAGAGGTGAGTGGGCAGGCTGTTTTTCTTAAAGTGGTACTTTATACCTCCATGGAAAGGCAGGCCAAGTTACTGTCTGAGTACATTCTGCCAGGTAACAGGGGCAGGTCAGCATAAAGCCTGAAACCTTATACCTACCCTGATTTCCCTTCATGATGGACTGTAAGATACAAGCTGAAAAAAACTCTTTCTTTCCCAAGGTGATTTTGGTCATGGTATTTATCATAGCAACAGAAATTAAACCAGAATAATTTATAAATTATTCATTACAATTTGTACAAAAGGGAGGTTTTGTTTTTATAAAAAATTTTAAAGTTTAAATTTTATATTAAATTACATGTATTTTGCAATTTTTGATGAGTTCTATTGTTATTCTGTTTTTATGTTGTGCCAAGAAAACAAAGGCCAGAAGAGTACTAAAAAGGCTCAAAATCTTTATCACCAATATATTATATGAATGTCATATCAACCTGTCAGATGAAAAAAATAATAGCTTATGAGACTTTCTTTAACAACCATTTTCTCTCCATAAACAATGTAAAGAGAGCATAGTCAATAGTCATTTTCATAGCTGAAGAGATAGCCCAGGGGTTATAAACACTGGCTGTTCTTCAAAAACACCAAGATTTAATTCCCAGTAGCTGCATGGTATCTCATAACTGTTTGTAACTTTATTTGTAGGTGATTCAAGGACCTCTCTGACATTTGTACACACCATGAAAGTATATGGTGAGCAGACATGCATACCTAAGCAAAACACACATACACATAAAAATGAGTGAAATAAAAAAATAAAAGCCAATTTCATTTACATTTTGTGAAATATGAATGTTCTCCTTTGAAAATGTCAACAAATTATCATGTATTATAGGTTGACCAGAAATCACATGTTACTATTTTGTTATGATTTTTTCTACTTTCATGTGATTTATACTGTTATTCTTTTTGGAAATATTTGCTTGTATTTTATTTAAATATATTTATCAACATATTCAGACACAGATGTATTACAAATTCTTATGCTTTTTATTAGTACTCAGGTATTTTATGGAGGAGTTTTGAAATCATTATTCAATTGCCAACTGGAAAGAGAGACAGAGAGATCCAGGAGCCTACCTCCAAATGCCTCTGGGGGCATAGAAGGCTGACTTAAAGCTTAAACAGAAGAAGAAAACTGCACAGAGAAGCTATGCTGTCAACCCACTGTCCCACTCACCATAGACTCAGCCCTGATTTCAGTTTCATCTTGGAGATCTCTGTGACAAATTGCAAATCAGATACTTTCATTATTACCAGGCTCCCAGTTAAATATTCTTTGGGGAAATTCCATTTTGGAATTCATCTTTTCAGTACTCTGATAGTCAGATTGAGAAATAAAATTTTGTCTCCTTAGGAGATCATTGCTTCTGTCAGGCAAGTTGCAAATTATCATGTTTTATTTTAACATTTCATTTCAGTGTTGAGGTAGAATATGCCTATGTATGAAACTCGTATACTAAACAGAATGCAAATAGGAGAAAAGGTCGGACCATATTTAGTTAATGCCAGGTAGCTGTGCCTAAGAACGGTTTTCCCCACAATGTCTTAACTTTTATTTTAGGAAGGACTGAGACAAACAAATCCACCTTGTTGGTTTTCAATAGTGTCTGACCATGAAAACAAGGTTATATTTAAACTATGACCCATTTTTCTTGCCTGCTCTGATGTTGTGATTTTAGTCAAGTGCTACCATAACCACTCTGCCTTTGTTTTACTCCTAACAATTATCCACCCATACCCCAATATGTTCCTTAACAATATTGTATGAAGACATTTGTGGCTAACCATCTGATGGTCTGTATTCTTCTATGCTATTTCACTGGAGTCAATATTTGCACCAGTTATTTTGATTTTGTCCTATATATGGGGGAATAAGTGATAGATCTTAAGGAGTTTGTGGCAAAAGACTGTTTATGGCTAATTGATTGACTGAAAGGTATAGTGAATTTATTATTTGTTTGTTTTTTGAGACAGGCTTCTCTGTATTGTTTTGGAGGCTATCCCGGAACTCACTCTGTAGACCAGGCTGGCTTTGAACTCACAGAGATCTGCCTGCCTCTGCCACCCCAGTGCTAGGATTAAAGGCGTGCACCACCACTGCCCAGCTGGTATAGTGAGTTTTATTTCTAGCATATCTTCAAGTACAAATTGCTTGTCCCTTGAGAAATGTTCTAGTATCTCCAAAATTCTGTTCAGACTCCCTGGCCTATGTTCTCCTTCTGTCTGCAGAATGTCAACAATGTTTCATCACAAGGCTATACAAGATCACAACTATCAGGATAAGCAGTTTTGAAGAATTTTAACAGAAAATAGTTAAATATGTTTCCACAGAGGAACAAAAGGTACATTTTAGGGTAACGGTCAATGCAATGAACTGGTCACAGACAGAGGAAGACAAAAGCCCAAGTATCTGCTGGTAATATTTTACTTCAGTGATTTTTCTATTCAGTAGTCAACATCAGTTGCTTTTCACCTCTCCTTGGTAAAACACATAAATGAGTTTCGACTTGTTGGGATTTGTGAAAAAAATATGACACTTGGTAATCCTATGTTCAAGTGTTACATTATAGGTGTTACCTTCAAATTTACCTTTAGATTTTGAGCAATTTTGTGTCTTGCTGAATGATTTTGGACAGCTCCAATTTGATGATTGACTTTGTCTTTTGGAGTTCTATTTTGGACAATTAAGGTGGTTGTGGTTAAAGGGACAAGTCAGAATGCAATAGAAATTCCATTTTCCAGAACAGAGTTGTCAGTGTGGAAGCTCTTTTAAGCAAATTTCTATTGAAATGTTTGAAGTATCCACTATATGACACAAAATTTTTGAGCCCTTGGGATTCTGTTAATTTGTATGAAATTGAGAGACAAGAGTGTTAAGGAGATCTCTTCTGTGGTTTATGTAACCATAGAAATATCGAATTTACTTCCTTGGTACCCCTGGGGATAAATGAAGCTAATTAATATTTAACAGTCCTGAAGTGAACACTCAACTACTCCAGTTTGGGATTAACTTTTTGTTTTAATTCATGAGTTGCAGAAAATAATGATAAGCATACTTTTACTGTATTTTTAAATGCACACTCTGAATGTGTGTGCATATGACTGAGTTCAAGCTATTCTTAAACTACATACAGCAATGAGGGACTCGGAGATAAGTGTGATTGTGTTGAACAATGTCAAATTTCCAAAGAACAAATAAAATATTATGTTAATAAAAAAGCTAACATTCACATAGATGAGAAAAATAGCATATTTCTTGAAAAGTTAAAAATTCCTTAATTTTTTATTCCTGGTACCACTATCACAATTTACAGGGCAATATACCTGATGTAATGAAAAGAAAAAGAAAGACAAAGCTACAACATATAAAAGACCTCAGGAATGTACATCTAATTGACACTACATTGCATTAATCAATAGCTGCACTTTTTGCAAACTGTGGCTATGACAGTCCTGAACAAGAAGGGTTTCCTGTTTAAGCTGCAGTAACTTTTCTGACTATGGATCATCGTTCCTCCTGTGGCAGATTTTTACAGTTCCCCTAATGCATTTAGGATGACTGTCTCAAAATAACCTGTAGCATTCCTGACAACTCCTCACTCTCTCTCCTGCTAAGAACTGTAGCCCTTTTCTGCTGTATTTTTTTAAAACATTCTGCTACCATATCCACCACTTCCACCACCAGATCCATAGCCACCACCATAGGGACTGTCTGAGCTTCTTCCACCAAAACTGCCCCCTTTCATGGATCCATAATTTCATTGCTGTTGTCCACTATAATTTCTAAAGTCATTATAGTTACCACCACCACCATAGTTACCTCCACCAAAATTTCCTCCTTCATTGTAACCATCGTATCCTCCTCCACCACCACCATAGCCACCACCCTGGTTTCCATATCCTGGTCCACCACCACCATAGCCTCCTCTACTACTGTAACCAGGACCGCCACCATAGTTGCCACCATCACATCCAAATCCATTATATCCACCATCACCACCTCCATAACTACCTCTGCTGCCACCACCTCCACCACCATAGCCTCCTCTTCCACCAAAGTTTCCACCATGCCCAAAATTACCTCCACCACCTCCAAAGTTTCCTCCATGACCCATAAAGTTACCAGATCCACCTCCACGACCTCTCTGTGATCCAGCAGACTGCATCTCTTGTTTAGAAAGAGCCTTTTTCACCTCACAATTATGCCCATTAATAGTGTGGTATCTCTGAACAACAATTTTATCAACGGTGTCATAATCATCAAAAGTTACAAAAGCAAATCCTCTCTTTTTTCCACTCTGCCTGTCTTCCATAACTTCAATGGTTTCAATCTTGCCATACTTTTCAAAGTAGTCTCTCAGATTATATTCTTCTGTATCTTCTTTAATACCACCAACAAAAATTTTCTTCACTGTTAAATGGGCACCAGGCTTTACAGAATCCTCTTTAGAAATGGCTCTCTTTGGTTCCACCACATGCCCATCAACCTTGTGTGGCCGAGCACACATTGCAGCATCCACCTCTTCAACACAAGAGTAGGTCACAAAACCAAAGCCCCTGGAACGTTTTGTTTGGGGGTTCCTCATTACCACACAGTCTGTGAGTGTGCCCCCTATCTCAAAATGTTCTCTTAAGCTATCATCTGTGGTTTCAAAGCTCAGACCACCAATAAACAACTTCCTCAACTGTTCTGGTTCCTTTGGATCATGGCCCTCCATTTTGAGACCGGACTCGCCTCTTCCAACTCGAGTTCCACATAGCATATTTTTTGATCTGGTTCACCTCACTCAGTATGATTTCTGTACAGCCCCATCATTTCTCTGTGAATTTCAAGATTTCATTTATTGATAGCTGATAAATTGTGACTGTGTCAGTATATCTTCTTTTCTTTATCTATTCACCTGTTGATGGACATCAAGGCTCTTTCCAGCTGGTTCCAGTTACTATGAATACATCAGAAATATATATGTGTGTGTGTGTGTGTGTGTGTGCGTGCGTGTTGTGTGAACAACTATTTATGTAGTAGAAGGATTCCACCTTCTACTACATAGATACTTGTAGCATTGTAGCTAGATCTTGAAGTAGATAGTCACAGCTTTTTAAGGAACTGCCACACCAATTTCTATAATGACTATAAAAGTTTGCACACCTGATAGCAATGGATGAGTGTCCTTTCGGACTCACATCATCTGTCATTTGTTTTAATGATTTGGGTCATTCTGACTTGTAGAGTGTAGCCTTCCCTGCCATCCACCAGGGACCTGCCACAGTTGCAGTCCCCAAATAACACACAGAATGCTATATTAACTATGAAGCTGTTGGTCGTTTGCTTGTTTCTTACTGGCTAGCTCTGACTTAAGTATTTAACCCATAACTGTTAATCTAAGCATTTCTCTTATTGGAGAAAAGGGTCCAGACTGCTTACTCTTCTGGTGGACTACATTGTGTCTGCCTGTGTCTCTTTCCCAGAATCCTCCTCAACTCCTAGTCCCACCTATCTTCCTTCCTTGCTAGCGAACAGTTCTTTATTCAAAAACCAGTAAGAGAGACAGATTTACAGAATGACATCTCCCATAATCTCCTCTTTTCTGTCTAAATAAAAAGAAAGGTTTTAACTATAACATAGTCAAATTATATATAACAGATCAGTTATCAAGAACATAGTTACAATATTTTGTCCATTAACATTTAGCAAGATTTAAATAAAATATCATGTATTCTATCTTTGTAAGTCTAAGTCTTATATGTAATTTATCTTTTATCATAACTAAGGAAAACTATGATTATAACTAACTGCCTTCAACTCCATCAAAGTCCACAGAAGGATCATATATAAACCCTAGAACTGACAGAGACATCTCACTGCCTGTACAGTCACCCGAATTTCCTCTGTAACATTGGGGCATCCATCTTCAGCCTATAGGCCATGGTGAGCCTGAAAGACTTCTCAGCAAAGCAGGAAATTTCAAGCTGTCCACAGGGAATTGCAGTCCGTCAGTCATTTTCCATGTCTGGCAGAAAGTCTGGCAGACTCTTCCATGAAGCAGGAACCCTGTAGGACTGTTTGGATTCAGCAGTCATTTTACTGTGAGTCCTGCATGTCCAGTTTATACAGCAACAGTCAAACAGTCTAGGAAAGAGCATTTCTTGCCCAAATGGCTAATGTGCCATGTTGAAAGCAAACTCCATAACGAGTTTCTTCGATGCCCATTTTCCTCTCAGACGTAACTGGCACTGTCAGGAGCAGACATTTCTCATTGTCAAGAAAAACCCTAAACCATTTTAAATGCCATTTTCTGAAGGTCTTTGAAAGGTTTGAAGACTGTCTATTTCAAATATATTTCTGTATATCTAGAAAACCTAATTTACCTAACTATAAATTCTGACTATTATAAGTAACTATTTATAGTCTATATTTAATTATGTATTAAGTTTTAAAAGATCAGTATAAGCACAATAATTAATCAAGAGGAGAAACATACCTAACACAAAATTGACCTTGAATTTGTATCGATAAATGAAAAACCATACCAATACAAAGTATTCATTTCCATACTATATTTGCCTTTTACCTTTAAAAAGAGATTACTTGTGATCATTAACCAATTATAAACAACCCCATTTAAATGAAAACAATGATTTATAAACAATATGGGAATTTGGATATTGCTAACTCTAAACTACTTCCTGATGATTGGGGGTGCTGTCCATACAATGGGGATCATGACAAAACTCGGAAACATGGCTAAGTCCATTTTTGTAGTCCTTAAGGCTCTATCATCTCAACTGTTTTAGAGGCTGGATCACCTGGGCCACTGCTTTCGGGGTCTTGGTTCACCAAACCACAGAAGTCTGGAAGGAATGCACAGCTTTCCATTTTCTATGGAAACATCAATAAAAACTCTTTTCCCAAGTAACCGGTACTTATATTTAAAGTTTGAAGTCAAAGCACTTTTGAAATATATAAGTTGGATTAATTCATCAGCATTTATAATCAAGTATACTTTAGCAGTTGTTCCTTCTTTAGCAATCAAAAAAACTGAAAAACACAATAGCATATAGTATTCAGACTCTCAGTGTATTTTGCATCTTTGTGTGACTTATATTACTCTATTTCTTTTACTTTTATTTATTTTTTCTCTGAGACAGAGCCCTCTGCCTCTGCAATGCTGGGAGTAAAGGCATGTGCCACCACACCCAGCTACTATTTGTTCATGTTTTACTCCACCGTGCTGGGATTAAAGGCCTGTGCCACCACACCCAGCTGCTTTATTTTTATTTTTTCAATATCTTATTTCTTTTACATTCCCAAGTCTACCTATATTTTTATATACCTGAATCTAACTTTATTGCAAAACCTTATGTTTTTCTGGCCACGTGTCTTATATAGCCTAAAGAACATTGCTAAAATTAAAGCAGATACAGCTGCTGGCTTTCCAACATGAGAGGCATAAGTTTGACTGCAGCTCACTGCCTCAGTCTATGCTGACATCCAGCAGCATGGTGCTGGCTTGGAGATGTGGTCACTGCCACTGCCAAAAGTTCATGCACACTATTCAAATGTTAATAGAGCATCTTAAAAGAACCTTGCTGCTGGTTTTTTGTTTTGTTTTGTTTTGCTTTGCTTATGCTGGTTCAGGAACATTCCCTTAAGTGAGCCACATGAGCCTCTACTTGTCTCTAGCAAAACAGAGCCCACCTGATAAAAATGCTGCTAACAAGAAGCCATACTTCTCTCTATTCCTTTGTTTCTAAAATCCATTTAAAGCTTTTTTCATTCTACATGGAAATTCAGTCGCAATCCTAACAAACTTCCCCGCCATCTGCCTGGGCCCTGCCACAGTTACAGTCCCCAAATAACAAATCAGCATGATCACTAACTATCTTCTGTACATTTAGCCTTAAACCTGCAGATGCATGTATTTTTCACCTCTCATAAAAGAAAATGCTCTTTAGAACAGATGACAACATTTATAGAAAAAGAAACAAGAGATTGTTTGATAGCCAATAGCTCACTAGCAACAGATACATGTACAACAACTCCTACACCGAAGCCTCAGGGATCACTGAGGAAGACCTGGCATAATTCTATTGGAATAGAAAGTTTGCTGTGAATTTGTGTCTCCTAGAAATGACAAAGATGCTACACCTATGAAGTGTCATCAACATTGTTACCTAACGAGACCTGAACAATCACACCAACAAGGGGCATGTTAACATAGAATGGAGAAGTGGCATAGGGTTTCAGTCACAGACAAATAACTACAGACAAATGGGTAATGATGAGATCAGGAGAAATATTCTTTCCCAGGGAAGAGTTCCTAATTGTTATCCAATAACAATGGTCAGTCATGAGATTATATGTAACAGATAACATATATGGACAGAGCAGATTGTGTTTATGGGTGTGTGTGTGTGTGTGTGTGTGTGTGTGTGTACATGATAGGGTTTAGAAAGAGGAAAAGAATGTGATGCAGATGATGTAATTATTTTATAATTTCAAAAAGAAAAAGGTTTTACAGCCATTGACTATACATTCTGCTCCCTCTTGTGTTTGCCTGTCTTTGTGAATTATTACAATCCTGTGTCTTCTACTTCATTGATCAGCATGTGCAGAACTCTTTCCTGCTTCATCTACCAGCTGAAATGGTGTACTGCATATTAAAAAGATTTCGGCTCCTGCTTCTTCATTAGTCCCCACCTTTCTTATTACGGAATGTACCCTACAGAGTTCAGGGAAGTCTCCACTCCAAGCCAGTGCACACTGTGCCTGTACTGACCCTCAGGATATACCACTTATTTGGACAATTACACTCTACCATCTGTGGCTGAAATCAGCAGCAATCACACTCACTTGGCTTTCCCCCACATTCATTTGATTTCCCCTGTACTTTGGCAGCCTATAAATATTTGATATGGGAGTACAGATGTAATTTCTTCAAAGATGAGTTTTTATTTCTGTTTTATGTTTCTTGCTTTGGCGATTAATTCTTGGAGGGAATGTGCCAAAAATCCACTGATTCTACTGTTTGAGAAATGGAGCATCATTGGTTTCTCCTTCTTAAAAACTAACTATGGTTATCATTCTCAATATATTTATTATACACCAAAATGTGTAACAAAGAACACTTTTATGTTTCTAGATTTAACCTGCTCACTCTGCACAGATGTGTTTAATTTTATATTCTGTTTCAATGGCACTTTTCCTAATAGTTTCTTGGTGTTATTGAGTAGCATTTATTCCTGCCTTGCATCCAATATGCATAATAGAGAAGCTCAGTTAAGGATTTCCCTTAGGTCACAACTTTGAACATTTACAATATTATTTTAAATAATAGTTTCATTCTGTACTCTAGGTTGTCCTGAAACTCACTTTATAACTAAGACTGGCCTCAAACTTGTGGCAAATTTCCTGCTTCAGTTTCCTAAATGCTGGAAGATACCTAATAATTTCTAAATATTGATACTAAGTGTTTAAGAATTATGCATTTAAACATATTGAATCACATATGTAAACACCATAAATTTTAATTCTGCAAACTACTTCTTTGTGTTGTCTTTCATTAATATATGATACAGAGAAAGAGAGGGAGACCAAACACACACACACACACACACACACACACACACACGAGTCAAGCATCAAGCACACAGTGTTAATCTTGCTGTCTTGCTGTTATATTCTGGAAGCAAATTTTCAGTGTGCCATTAAGAATATGAACTACATCTTATGGCCTAACAGAGGGAGAAATTTGA